AATCTTCTATTTTTAAAACAAATTTTTTTTGTTATAAACAACTGAGCAGTCTAATGACTACCAAAATATTTTTACTAAAAATTAATTTCTTTGAAGAAAATGCATTTATTTATGTCATAGATTTTCATTTTTTCTTAACGACGTAACGCTGATACAGTAACAGTGAATAAATTTGGTTCTGAGAACAGTATCGTTACAAGATAAGGCCAAACTAGTAAAGGGTAGACTAATACAGATAGGTATCACGGAAAAAACCACTAACTTTCCATCGTTGAATGCAACGCATGACAAAAGGTCAACATTTACTGGTGCCATTTGACTAGATAGACATCCTACAAAAAAGAAGAAAATTACTAATGAACTTTGTTCAAATCTGCAAATAACAAAGTTAGTAATTTTGAAATGACAACGATAAGATTAGTTGTTGTCAGAAAACAAAGATCAGGATCTACCGCCAAGATGAAGATCCCAAATTTTTATTGTTCCATCAGCCGATATACTAAGCATTAAGGATTTTTGAATTAATTGTTGTGGAAGAAACACCGCACAGTTAACCGTCTCTTCGTGTCCCTTATATTCTCGAAGTAACTTTCGCTGCCTTAGATCATAGAGCTAAAATTAAAGAAGGTCAAACTGTTGCCATCAAATGTTTGCCTGATCGAAGAAAGACTTTTTCAAAAAAAAAAAAGTGCCAAGTTTCTGTTTAGTTTTACTCATTTTTTCCTTAAATGTTATCCTTTTTTCCTGAATTTTTTCCCGACAACAGTGAAAAATAATAAAGTGTAGAGTATTACAGTGATTTCACAGCCATCACCATTTGTTCCGCCACTGGAAGTGATACAATAATTACCGTCTGCTGATACATCGCAGTGTTTTAAGATATGATATTTTGTTGGAAATCCATGAATCAAATTCAGATTATATGGATCCCAAATTCTAAAACAGTCATTGTTTCTTAAAACACTGTTTTTATCAATGACAATAAATTTGCTAATTAAACGGCATCAGAGCAAATATCATCATTTAAAAATGTTTTACTTCAACTGCTTGTCTTCAGATGTCTGTGCCAACAGATTTCTGGTCTTATTGTATATTAGATGGGTAACCTACAAAAAATTACTTTTCTTTTTGTTATCCAAAAATGGTAACTGTTGTTGTCAACAGTACAGCAAAAAAAAAAATTAATTGAAAAAATGAAAGCAATAATTTAAAATTCTGAATCATTTACATAAAATGTTTAATAAAGCAAAAAAAAAGCTTTCGTTTAATGTCTAAACAATATTTTGAGTAAACAAAAAAGAAAATGAAGAACAATTTTTTTAATTAAACTTACAACATTTCTGGAGTGCTCAACAGTTCGAGTATTTCGTCCGGTACTTATATCCCAGGTTTTCAGTGTCGTATCTCGTGATCCCGAGATGCAGCTAACATCTGAAGAACAACAGATTATGTATTTGCATCAGTTTTTGACTACTTTTACTACTACAGCATTATTTCCGATTAAATTGATCAGCACGTTGTTTGTCTTTTTCGCCATTTAAACATCAAAAATTTAATACCTTGAAATACTTCATCATGTTCTTCATCTTACTGTACTCTTTTCTTTTCTTTCGTGAAGATATTTTGGAAAAAAATTTAAACGTTCAAAAACCGTGAAAAAACTGTATACCATCAAGTGCTGCAACTCCCATAATAGCCATTTGATGGCCATGAAAAGTTTGAACGGGTGATGCACAATTGAATTTCCATAATCGTATCGTTCGATCTCTTGAACCGCTCAACAAAAAATGTTTTCCGTTTGCATTTTTATAAACCAACTGAAATGGCAAAGTAAGATGATAATTATATAACAACACTAAAAAACCTGAGCAATTTTGGTTTTATTACTGTCAAAAAGCACTTTTTTCGGTAACTATTTTTTTCCAGCAATTTTATAGAGTATAAATACATATTTTGAACATTCCTGGTAACTCCTAAACAGCTACGAACAAAACTATTCAGTTACAGGTTAACTGTGGTTCACTGCCTGGATTTGTTTTGAATGACAATAGATTTGTAGAGGTCAGTTTGAAGGTTTTTTTTGTTGTTTAACACTTAACATTTGTTTAATTTACAAACAAATTCAGTTGTTTTTTACCAGAGATCGCAAATATTACCCCTTTCCTCACCCTCCATCCCCACCAAAAAAAAAAAAAAGACAGTTATACAAGGTGGAAATTTTACCAGTCAAGAGTATAAGCAGTACCACTTTTGTACTGATCAGTGTAAATCAAAAACAGAAGAATACCAATGAATTGAACATGTCAAAATTTGTTGAAAAATTATAGAAATATTTGATACGCATACGAAAGAAATCAACAGAAGTGATAAGCGACTATAGTGAATGGCAGACAGTGATCAAAAAACAGTCCTCAAAGTTGTCTGCAGAAAAATTGGTCAAACTGTATGGACTTTTGTACTTTATAATCAATTCAGTCCTTAAATGTCGAACAACTCAGTTAATCTGTCTATTTTAACTTATGATTTCGGTAGCATAATAAAGCCAGTGAACAGATAATTTTACCGATACAGTTTAGTGTAACCAAAGGTTATGCTAGTTCTCAGCACTACATAGATTTTAATCAAATTGCTAAGAAGTGATAAATTATTCACTGTTAAGACTAGTGTAGTTTCTTGCTCACATGACTGATATGCCTATTCTACAGTGACGTAAAATTGATCTCATTGATAAAACTGACTAAAAAATATGCAGCAATACAGCAACAAAAAAAGAAAGCCTAAAATGTCGATAAAAAGAAATCCTCAAGTAAACAAGGAAGTAGAATAAAAGAAAGAAGAACTTTTTTTTTCTCCAATAATTAAGACTGAAAGTCATATAAATTTTGGATGACTGAATGTATTATGTTGAACTAAACAGTTCTTTTTTTTATTTGTCTTTACAATTTACCGATATGACAAAAACGAGTACAGCTTAAGTGTAAACAAAAAGCAGAAAAAATTTCTCTATCCATTTATTTATTTTAGAAAAAAATTGTAAAATTTGAAAAGACAACTAAATTTAGGCAACAAATATTATTAATTTTGAGAGCACTTTTTTGAAGCTTATTTAACTGCACAAAAAAAAAAAAAAAAAAAAAAAAAAAAAAAA